AAAAAAAAAAAAAGTCAGATTGGACGTTAAATGTCAACGTTCGCAGTCTTTTCACCACATCCTAAAGTCACCATCCAGTTTCCTCTTAAATTTAAACTGCTTGACCATTCCGATTTCTTTATCGCAGTGAAAAAAAAGTCGAGATGAGTGATTGGGATAAGGAGGAGAGAAGAGAGAGAGAGAGAGACGAGGAGAGGAGAGACGGAGACGACCGAGAGAGAAGAGGAGGAGGAACGAGAGAGAGATGAGAGAGAGAGAAAGAGAAAGAGAAAGAGAAGAGAGAAAAAGAAGAAGGAGGAAAGAGGAAAGGAAAAGAAAGAGAAAGAGAAAGAGAGACAGAAAGGAGAAAGAAGAGAAGAGAAGAGAGAGAGAGAAGAGAAAGAGAAGAGAAAGAGAGAGAGAGAGAGAAGAGAAAGGAGAAAGAGGGAAAGAGAAAGAGAAAGAGAAAGAGAGAAAGAGAAAAAGAGAAAGAGAAAGAGAAAGAGAAAGAGAAAGAGAAAGAGAGAGAAAGAGAAAGAGAAAGAGAAAGAGAAAGAGAAAGAGAAAGAGAGAGAGAGAGAGAGAGAGAGAGAGAGAGAGAGAGAGAGAGAGAGAGAGAGAGAGAGAGAGGGGGGGGGTTAATGGCTACAGAGCAAAATGAATGTGCTAGACATCAAAGGTCATATATTTTCATATAGTGAAAAGGGTAAAGAGGAGGGGGGACTAATTAATGATTAAATGTGCTTTACGTCAAAAGTCGTATAGTAGTTAAGGATAGTATGGTATTGAAAGGGGCAAAGAGCGATGAGGGTAGAGAGAAAATGGGCTACGGTAGGGTTTAAAGGGTGACTCGTTCAAAGTTGTCAAAGAAAAAAAGGGAGGATTCTGCAAGGATGAGGTAAGGGAATGGTAAGAGAGAGGAATGGGGGTTTAAGGGCGATTACATCAAAGAGCAGTTTCAGGAGAAATGTCTAGTGGCGAGGAATCTAGAGAAGGGTGTTGTGACAAAAGGGAGTCACGTGTGTATCCAGGAGGAAGCGTAAGGGATAACAGGGAAGGGGGGTGATGTAGATGAAGCAGGGGAGGGGGGGGTTGGGAGGGAGTGGAGGAAAGGGAGTTGAGGGGGGGAGGTTTTTAATCGGACAGGGAAGTGCGAGTCTTCCCCACAGTCTGATCAATCCTTGTCGTAGAAAGGGCAGTCTGCAGGAGAGATGGAGACAATTTCGGTTCAAATATTGAGGGATAGGATGAGGCTGGGCGTGAATGGGTTTGTCAGTGAAGTCAGTCAGTGTGGATAATGTTTTAGCTTGGGATTCGGGTGTAGTTGCGACAAGGCGGGAGCGATTGGGGCATCTGCGGAAGAAGACTTTGCCTACTTATATTTGGAGGCATTGTTGAGGAGAGTCTTGTCAGAGTAAGGGGCTGGAGAGAGGATCACAAAAAATCGATCCCATTTGGGCTAAAGAAAGTACTCAAAAGGTTTGCAGAGATGGGGGTAGTAGAAGGAGGGGGCCTTGTGGAAGAGGGAGTGTTGAGTGAAGTAGTACTGCAGACAGTAGGGGGTACTAGTAGTAGTGTTCAGAGTCGTGGTCGAAGATCCTGGGGTCTGGGAACCTGCGAATCAAAATCAGTGGGGCTAGTTGAAAAAGGGTTAAGGCTCATTTTCCCTGATAATGACACAAAAAATTCATTACTGGCCATGGTAAATCTGAATAAGTTGGGGAGAAAAATGGTCTACACCTCAGGGCCCCTTTAATACGACTTTTAACCCAAGCAGAAAGAAAATTAATATAGCCAGAAACACCATCTTAGTACGGATAATAAAAAAACCTATATGGTCGAAGGTGTTTATTACAATAATTCAAAATGGCAGAAAGGTGATGTCACAGCTGGTGGTCCTATGTTGCAAATAAATCCGCTTTCGAAATGTTGTTAAGGCTATTTTCAGGTCTGTCCCTTCCTGTATGGTCGAAGTTTATGCGAGAACCAGAATTAACCAAGAATAATCAACCACATGATACTGTTTTTTTCTTCCTCTCGCTGTTAAAGGACTTTTCACAACATGGTCAAGATCAACAGTCAAAAAATTAAGCAAGAGATTGTATAATGTTTATTATGATATAAAGACTGTAAAGACAAAACGTTGTTATAGCTTCTTAGAAACACACTAAGGCACTGAAGGCACTGAACAGGAGACAGATGCGAAAGTCACATTACCTTCTTCGCAACAATATAATTTGTTTCACTATTTTTACATTAAACTGGCTATTAAGTCTGAAAAATCATACCCGAGGCACCAATTCACATCCCATATTCAGAGAATATTACGCATACTTGATTTTTTTCATCCTTATTTATCAACAAACTCTACATTACCTATTACACCTGGAAGATTTAAGTCTTAAATGATACAAATGAAAACTGAAGCATCGAAACCATTGGTGTGCAGAAGGGAGGGGGGTGGGGGGGAATGGGTTGTGGTCCAGGGCATCCAATTAGAGGGGGTTATAAGATTGTGATTTTAAAATTTATTTTTAAATCAAATTAAGCGTTTATTTCTTGCTTCATATGTACTTACATATTCAAAATCTCTCCTTTTCTCATATTTCTCAGTACTAGGCCTTGTACTCAAATTTTGGGGCATACAACCATAAAACCAGACTTCTACACGCCACTGATTAAAACTAACTTGAAGCATTTATTCTGTATAAACTTTGTACCATTTCTATATTAGCAAATATAGTTCATTTTGGATCATCTTTATATCAAAAGCATTTATGTATACTTCCATTTGCATGTGTCACTGTTCCCTCCAACACTTCCTAGCATATTAAATATATTCCAACATAATATACCCTTCAATGGGATATCTTTATTCGTCATATACTTCAATTACCTCAGTCCACCTCCCAAAAATTAAACTTCAAGAAATTAACATTTTTTTTCTACCATTCACTTCTTAAAATCAGACTAACAACATGCAAACTATTCCCATATGAAACAACCACCCCATCAGAAGTCAAGTTCTATCATTTGATTATTTAAAACTATTTGCAGTCATCTAATTTATATGACCAATAGACAAATGATTAAGGTTTTAAACAAATAAATAATGTGTTATACATCAAAGCCAATAAACAAAAGGCTTGGCACAACATAGTATATTCCAATGGCAAGTTATAAAATGGATTTACAAGCTCCGGTCTTAGTGTCGAATTTTCATTAAAAAGTTATGATGGGGTCTTGAAGATGTGGGTTTAGATAATTTTTAAAAAATAAGTAGAAACAGTAATATCACAATCAATATTTTCTTAAATTAGTATCACCTAGATCTGCCAATGCAACACTAAGGACCCATTAAGTATATACATTTTCTACTGTTTGAACATGTAAATAAAACAAATAGAACATATATTATACTTTTATGAATAAATGCATTAACCTTTAGTATAAAAATGTGTATAAATCATGGTGATTTGGAGACACTTGTATAGTCTTGACTAGACTGACATTCAGACATGTACTTGGATATCTTTGAAGTACCAAAACACTAACAACCATTCTTTATATATGTTTAAGTGTAAGATTGTTGAATTAACTTTATATTACACAAATAACAAAGAACCTGCTTTCACACTCATTTGACTCAATATGCCACTAATGTAGTTAAGTCATACCACTTACATAACAAATATCACATGTGCTAAACACTCATTGGTTACGTATGATGTACAAAACACTTGAGAGAAAAGCCCCTTTCATCCTATTTGCATGTAACAATTTAGATTTGTGACCAAACATTGCAATGGTTTCCTATCTTTCCCTTTAAACAACTAGGTTTTTACTAGCTCTTGTAATATGCATAATATCTAATTAAAAATACAATTCTATATTTTCTTTACAAAGTTTCTCAATCCAAAGACAGACCTTTACAAAAACTAGTACTGTTTATTTATAAAATAATACTGGTTTGAAAATTGTCACAGCTTCAATAGGCAAAATTCCTTCATATAAAAGAGACTTTCTGCTTTTACATCAAGTCATTTATAAGGATCCCCATTCTCCACTACATTAAAGGATCAAGGAGTGGATCATACGACCGATGTCGTCGCCAGTGGTCCAGCAGAAGGCCAACTACTACTATGACCCCAATAGCCACTAACAGAGACCATACAATGGTTAGTGTTGGAGTGTTCATGAGGAAGAGCAGAAATTTGACTGAAGGAGCCATATCTGGGGGCATTGCGGCCTTCTCCTCGAACCAAAGCATGGGCAAGTAAGCATTTGGCAGGTCCTTCAGGATGCTGTGAGAAAACATTACATATAAAATAAAACATTCCTTGGACAAATATTAACATGTTGCATTCTTTACCAAGTCAAATACATAATAAAATACACAAACACAATGCCATTATACAATTCCATGTACATCTTGAAGGCTACTCACTCAATGCGGTTGAAATGGAACTTTCCTGTTCCTTGGTATGGCTGGATGCGGATGTTGATCTGCACTCTTGCTGCCACATTCATTGGGGTTCCCAGTTCCTACAGGATGCAATTCATTACAAGAGGAAAGAAGGTGGGGTATTAATATCAGATCAGATATAGGTGTAATATTGAGAAGTTGTAACAATATAAGAACATAAGATGGGGGGGGGGATTACCGGAATAAGATCCATGTAGAAAGCATGTTTCTCTTCCTCTGGCTTTAGACCATTGACCATGTTTAGGAGGTATGGATCAGCATTAAAGAAGTGCGGGAATGAGATGAACGCAGGAGCACCCATCCTACAAGACTCAGCATTTAACAACCCTAGAACAGAAAGATAAATTCGCAACAGATCATGGTAATATTTCTCTCTCTGAGATTACTACCAATAATGGAAGACTATCCAGTTTGTTCCATAATTTTATCAACACAAGTAGAAAAAATATTAATGAAAATGAATTCACTCACATACGAGACAGAAGTGTCCCATTTAAATTTCAATAACAAAACATTATATTGACCACAAACTGAAGATTCATCTGATATCTGTGACCTGTCATTCATTACCAAAACTTTATTGCAACCATAGATAATTTGAAGCTGCTGAATAGTAACTTCCATTAATACATAATAAAATACACAAATAAGTAACTTCCGTTGATATTTTTCTGTCTCTATTGACTTGGATTGCTTTTGCTTCCTTTTCTGTAGATATCCAGTTACATTTATGTTTATCATCATGGCATTTGAAGTTTTAAGGTAAAGGATACCATATCCGTGTATAATTATGTAATTTATGTTTTTGAAGTTTTAAGGTAAAGGATACCATCTCATATTGACCAATTGAATGGTATCAAAATCACCATTTCACCAAAATATATGCTCGTCACATCTGCTCCAAGGTATGCAGAATACAGTATACAGTGTTGTTGGGGTTGCTTATGGGGTGCTTCTTGTCTCATTTGAAATTCATCTTTATCCTAAACATATTGGCAATTATTTAACATTATGATGAAAGACCTGCTGACTGCTTCAGATATTGCACTGCAGCACTATTGGGAACTCTGAAGAGGAAGTTGGCCCTTGCTTTCATTATGATGTTTTCTTTCTTTAGTTCAGGAGAAGCCCCTGGAAGTATGGAGGTTTTATAAAGGATTTAATGATATCTTGCCCTCAACGAATTCTGGACTACAAACCTTGCATAGCCTGTAGAAGAAACCTATAACAACTTCCATTTTAGATTCACTGTAGTAGTAATGGTTATAGTCTTCTTTGATGGTTAGCTTTCTCTATATGGAGATAAGGGCCTTTGCCATGTTGGTGGAGAGTAATGTCCAAAAAGGAAGCTTCAGACATTTCTTCATCCTCAAAAAATTAAATATTGTCACTGACAGCATTAAGCCATGTCATTGTTTTGACACAGGCATGATCTCCTGGGGATATCATCTATTGGCCAAGCCATGTTTGAGGCAGAGTATGTTTCTGCAATGATCCTTCTCCAACCCAAAAACATGTTTAAATCCTTCTCAACTTTTCCTACATTTGTCATGTTTATCCTAAAAGATTATTTGGACCCTTGTAATGGGGCACAAACAATACAACTGTCAAAATTCAAAACTATTAAATCCATAAATTGAATTATATTTGTATTACTGACAGCAAAAGCTATTAAAAGCCTTTACCTGTTGGAGCGCAAGTACCCTTGACACAGTAGCACTCATTGCCAGGAACGACAGAGCCATTTGCAAAGGTGGTATTACTACCCCAGAACCTGTAGCCTTTTATTCCATCATTGGTTACATTCTCTTTGTAATGTAGCTTCACACTCCTGTTGAAAAAGAATAAGAATGTTAATCTCACAAAAAGATCCAAAATTAATTTATGAATTCATTTTGAGTAACATGAAGGTTTTCCTATACAAGCAATTCTTCTGATTAGAAAAGTCACCAACTTTTTGGCATGAAGATAAAATTGCATGTCTGCTCATTGTGCATGAAAATGAGACTAAGCCATCGTTTACACAAAACATGTACCCCTATGCCCTCGATGACAAAAATATAACACTACATACAAATCTATCCTCAATATGAGCGGAAAGTAGTGAGGGAAAGAAGAGTATGTCGAGTTAGAGGATATAGTGAGAAGAGAGACTTACATGCAAAGGTCAGAACTGTAGATAACAACATGGTTTGGTTTCTGGTTAGGTGGGAACATCTCACCAGCTGAGCCAGTGACATTGTTGCAAGGAGGAGAGAAGAATGGCGTCGATCGTGTCTTGTTCCACCAGTCAATCTTGCCTATAAATTATTTCCATGTATTATGGGCAATGAAAAAAAAAATCTTACATCATAAATTTTCAATAAGATATGCAAATCAACTCTTGTTCTGATTTAGAGCATAAACAATATTACAACAGAAAAACATTTTTCATATACCTGGGGACAATGCTCACCTAAGTTTTCAAGTGTGTCTACTCCAGTTTTCATGTTGAATAATCCATCGTAGTATGTTGTCAAATTACGCTGATGGAATAAAAATATGAGTGAAAAAAGAGGGAGGGGGAAAGGGAGATGAGAAAAGATGAGAAGAAAGGAGGAGAGCGGAGAGGAGAAGAGAGGAGAGAGGAGAGGGAGGGAGAGAGAGTGACAGGAGGAGGAGGAGAGAATAGAGGGAGACTACTACAAGTTGCAAGGAAATAATTATCCCAAAATATCTTTCAAGCTAAGCAAAAACCTTCTTTTAATACATACACCATAAAACCAAGCAAATTTATCGTAGCTGATACCACTTGCAAATGACGGGTGTTCTTTCAGCCAATCCAGCACGGGATCCTGTCAAGGATCAGGTGGGGTTAATCAATAACAAATATAATAATGACAACGATATCAGATGATTATGAAAATGATAATGAAAAAGTGACAACTGATAAAAATAGTTTTACTCAGGATTATCATATCAATGTTACCAATGCTACAAGCAGAAATAACAACAACATATATAGAGCCAGGAACCATAAGGGAATCAATGATGAATATATAAAATAAAAGTTCAACAGTACCTCATAACCCGTAAAAAGGATCTGTTCAGCCGTGGTGGTGACTACAGCTTTTTCCTTGACACTATTAAACATGCCATTCAACATACCAAGGAGAAATTCACTGGTGTGCACAGCCCATGCTGCTGCCTGAAACAAAATTTGTTAACTTTCAGCTTTAGTGACAAAATACAGCACAAACTGATAAGAGTAGTAAAAGTTCATAAAGATAACTAAAATTGCTTCCGAGAGTGGTCTTTATCTATATATGGGATTCATAAAATTGTGCTATTAAGCTGATGCCATAAAGGATGGCATGTTCATACATAGGTTATAAATTTCCTATACATATAGATGGCTCCACAAGTACTTAGTTACCAATGAGTTGATCACGAGTACTACCTATTTAAACCATTTACCCTTTTCCTCAGTTTGCATAAATATCTTATTTCATCATGTATTTATGTTAATAATGTTGATAGTATTATAAAGTCTATAACAATAAAAAAAAATAATAGTTTTGAGCACATTGGTAAAAAAAAACATTCGCCAAAATAAGAAAGTTGTAATCGGTTGAGGTCATGAGGTCTACTAAATGCCTCTTTGGTGGCTGAGTACTTGTGGAGCTATCTATGTGCAAGAGACATTCTGAAAAACATTATTACAATGGAAACTGCATTTCCTCTATGGCATTTGGGTAAGTAGGTCATGCCTGGGCTCAATTTCATTTTGCCAAAACCAATTCTCTGGCATCCTAAAAACTTCTCGTTAAGAAATCAGTCTAATAAATTGCTTTTAATGGATATCACCCATGAATTTGGAAAGCCTTGCTGACACCATAAGGTAACTCCTTACTGCTGTTACATCCTGCATGGATGCAACTGATACCTCCTTAGATCCAATTAATTTTTATGGATGAAGATAGATGTTATGGGAAACATTGAGGTACAATGGAACAAGTTTAGAATGCAAGGCTCTCAGTTCGAGCTAGATTATTCAGGTGATCCGTCAGTAGACCTAGAAACTGAAGATGATCATTTGTATCACACAAAGGGGAAAAGAGAAAGAATGAACATAAATTTGCTCAAACACCATCAAGTCTTCTCACATCCTGATTTGTTAAATGGTAAAATATAAAAAGTACATATCTGATTGAATTAATTTGCTGATTACAGTCTTCATATGATACAAAAGAGTAAGTTTCAGCAAATACAGGTTGATTGATAGAGGCCATCACTATTAAATTCTTGATAAATACTTTGCACAAAAGTAAATCTTGAAAGCAAATAAAACTAATACAGTTACAGGTTTATTTTAAAATCTTTGAATAATTTGAATGAAACGCTATATGGTTTTGCATTACCAAAGTACTTTAAGGCAATGAAACAGTTATAACAATGAACATTTTCTCAAATAATTAAAACTTAATCAGTTTTTACTGACAAAAAGCTACCTTTGAATGATAGACACAAAAATATCAAAAGTAAAGAAAAAGAAGTCTTCACAGATATTACACCATAGATAATTACAAATATACCAATGATAAAATAAATGCAACCTCATTCACAATATGAAAAATAAAACTATAAATCACAGCTTACCACTGGGACGGTGTTGAGAGTGACAATGACATCGTCTCGTGAATTATTGCCAGATAGTTCCTCATCCCAAACCCAATACCTCTGCTGGAAATAGGTGACTGTGTTGTTGGGGTTGAAGGTGATGTTCTTCTTTTCACGGTGATGGGTAGATGTAAATTGCACATTTTAGGCTGTGTAAATTGGTAAACAAATGAGGGGGAAAAAAGGTGGAGGGGAGAGCTTAAAATATAAGCTGGAGGAGGAGAGGAAAAAATGGGAATTGAACAAGCTCAGAATTTGTGTGGAAAAGGAAAACGGGCAGAGAGAAAATGGGTGATAGAAGGAAAATTGAAGGGGAAGAGAGAAACAAAGCAAGAGATTATGAGAATGGAAGGGGGAAGGAGAGAGACAGGAAGAAAAAACGGGATGAAGAAGAGGGATAGGAAGAGAAAATGAGAAGGGGAGGGTGAAGGTTGGAAAGAAAATGGGAGGGCGAGGGTGAAGGTCGGAAAGAAAATGGGAGGGGTCGGGAGAGGGCGGAAGAGAAAATGCGAGGGGGAAGGAGAGGGAAAGGGAGAGAAAATGGGAGGGGGCAGGAAGAAAAAATGGGAGGGGCAGAAAGAGAAAATGGGAAGGGGAAGGAGAGGGATAGGAAGAGAAAATGGGAGGCGGAGGGAAAAAGTGAAGGAGAAAATAGATGGGGTGGAGACAAAATAGAGAACAAATGGGTTGGGGGTAAGAAAGGGAAGGAAAACATGACAAGAAAGCAAACCAACAAATACTACTGATATTCAAAAAACAACCCAATGCCTCCGCGAAAATGTTAAGTTCACTTTAGTAAAGCTTTGATAAATGTTTCTGCACATACATGACTGTCAGTGCTGAGCTGCAAAGTAGTCAATTAGATCTTGTGACCTTACCTTCCCTTGAAATGGTGGGAAAATGCTTTTTGTTACTATTACTATTATTAATGATGCTGTTATTTTTGTTGTACGCATTATAATCACTATATTGTCATTGCCTTTACCAACAGCAGTATTAAATACTAGAAAATATTGTCGAAAATCAAGGAAAAGCGTAAACAGGTGAGACAAGTATTTCTTGTAACTGGCTCATTGGTGACCTAGTACTTGGAGCCATCTATATGTAAAAACAATTACTACATTAAAGAAACAGTTGGCATGGCATGAAAGCAATGGGAGAGGGAAGGAGAGGGGCAGGAAGAGAACATGGGAGGGGGAGGGGAGGGGGAGGGGGAGGGGGGGGGAGGAGAGGGACAGGAAGAGAAATGGGTGGGGAGGGGGATGGGGAGGGAGAGGGACAGGAAGAGAATAAGGGAGGGGAGGGGGAGGGGAGGGACAGGCAGAAAACATGGGAGGGGGTGGAAGGGAGAGGAAGAAGAACATGGGAGGGGATGGGGAGGAAGAGGGACAGGAAGAGAACATGGAGGGAGAGGGAGAGGGAGAGGGACAGAACATGGGAGGGGCATATGCCATGTGACAAAAAAAGGAAAAGAAAAACGTTACCTCCACACATAAGGTCCGCATTCCTGAACATCGGGCTTGGCTCCCTTCTCAAAAGCCTCGGCGTTTGTGATGTTGAAGAGATACACCTTCAGGATGAGAGGGAATGGCGTCTTTCTCCAGATTTCGTACGATCTGGAACCTTCCTTGATTTCTAGTTGCTGTTGGTGAGGAATTAAATTTTTGGGTAATTCCATTTTTATATATATATAATGCTCTCCTTATTTATGCGTGTGAACCAATACGTGTTTGAACTTGTGGTAAATCAAATGAAATCATGTATATCTAACATGTGATAGAAAATTACTCGGCTGTGCCATTTAAGCTAAAGATCTTAAAACATTCAGTTAATCATAGGTGAAATTACATGTAAAATTCTGTATGCAAATACTCACAAAAAATAACTAAATTCACTACTGCGATTGTAACATCTTGGCATTATTGTCTGTGACATATACCCTCGGTATGTCTGTTGAGAAACAACCTAAGATTACCCTTTAACAGGGGCGGGTCCAGAGAATTTTCTGGGGGGGGGGGGCACAGGGGGTAACAGCAATAAATTTGGGGGTCTGCCACATTATATATACTGGGGGCCATTACGACGAGTCAATGGCCCATTGGGGGGCACACGGGGTGGCTAACCATATTGGAAGGGGGAAGGTGCTCCCCCTGTGCCTCTGCTCTTTAACCGCAGAATTGTAGGTCGTAATTGCATTGGTGAAACATGGCACACGACCACGTAGTTTCCACAAACGCGTTCCAATGACTTTTTTGTACGTAACTACTGCAAATTCTTTCCAAAAATACATTACGAAGTCGACGAAGTACGACTAGTACAATTTATCATCATTGAAGTTGTGTACGTTATGTCACCCGTTAACGA